TTCGTGACGGCGATGTTTCGTTGCGGGTGGAACGGCCTTTGGGGAATGAACCCGGCTTTGTCTGTGGCCGGGGTGCGCAAAGGAGCGTAGGCAACTTAGGCAGATCTTCTGCTTTTGGCTGATAAGTGGACTGTACAAGAGTTGAGCGAGGCAGGGGCAGGAGAGCTGCGGGAGAATGGTTGGCATTGACTGAGTTGGGGCTGCACGGACGGGTGGCTCGCCGGGTATTACGGGTTACGAGCGTTGTGATCCGCTGTGGTCTGCAGTGCCGACTGTATAGGGGGTGGCTGTGCGCAGAAGACTGCGGTGTACAAGGCACGAACTGTTGGGGTGCCTGCTGACTGAGCAGGGGGGTGTTGCTGTACATTGCATGCTAAGCTGCTGCTCAGCTGGTGGCTGCGAACTGTTGTGGGTTGCCGTCAACTATTGCCACTTGCTACAGCCGGCTATACGGCAGCGGATGGGCAGCGGAGGGGGGCTAATACGGTGGAGTGAAGGCTGGGTCAAGGAAGAAAGGCGGACGCTGCAGATTGAGGGGTCGACAAGGGATTGACCGTGGCAGCTGATACTGGAAGGCTGGCAAAGCCGTTGCAAGTTGGTCGCCATTGCGGGGCCCTCAGGCGTTGAAGAGTTGAAGGCCCTCTCGCGCGAGTCTAAGTGTGTCCTTCCTGAGTCTGAGAGTCTTACTACTTCTCATCCTGTCCTTCTTACTCCAAGTCTGGTCCTTTGGCTCTGAGAGGAAGGCGGCAGGCGGGCGTGTGGCCCGTAACCGGCGCCAAGGCCTTTGTGGGAGGTCGCCCCACCGATTGCGGGAGCTCTGCCGGGACTCAGGCGGAGTCCTGGAGGCAGAGAACTGAGTGGTAATCCCTTGACCCCCTCTATAAACCCAACTATAGCCCCTACGTGTACACCTCTCTATGTTTGACTGAGTGGATTGTGTGGACCCTCTACTTGGTTTTGAGCTTGGCTTTCAGGACATAAGTCAGATTGAAGTAAAGGAATGTATGGACAAATCTCAGTTTCAGTTTGTTGATTGCCTGAAAGCAGATTATGAATGAAATGGGTTGCATCCGGGGGGGGTGGGAGAAAGGCAGTATCGTATGCCGTCTGGTTGGGTCGTTGGGGCTGGGAGGTTCCCATAAGTTTGGGGAAGCCCAGCGCTCTGTTTATTTTTGGGGTTGCATTGAGCCTCAGACCGCTCTATAAGTTTAGGTAGCCTGAAGCTCTGGAGGCTGGGGTGTCCCCATAAGTTTGGGGAGACCCGGTGCTGTGAATTGCATGAAGGGTCAGGACGCTCTATAAGTTTAGGTGTCCTGGCTGCTCTGACTTATGAGGGTTTGATTGTGAGTGATTTTCAGGAACCCAAGGCGCTCTATAAGTTTAGGTACCTTGGGTTGCCTTGTTTTATTTGGGGTTTTCGCTGTTTCTTTGTTTCTGAACCAGAAGGTCTGTACCGCTCTATAAGCTTAGGTGGTTCAGCCCTTCTCCTGTTTTGTTTTGAGGGAATAATTTTGGCAGGGGACAGGCCGCTCTATAAATTTAGGTAGCCTGACCTACTTCCTCGCACAAAGTGGATCAGAGAGAAACGAACGTGGCAGAGGATCAGACCACTCTATAAGTTTAGGTAGTCTGACCCAATGCCTCGCACATGTTGGAACCCAATGGATATAATCTGACTATATTTTATTACTATGATATTAAGAACAGGCTAGTCAGGCCGCTCTATCAGTTTAGGTAGCCTGACTATAGCTTATCACAACTGAAGAGAGAATAACTAAGAGATATAACTGAAGGTAAACATGGGCAGGCTGAGCAATGTTCTAAGTTGAGCGGCTCAGCCTTATGTCCCCTTTGAAGACTAAGTTAAGAGAAGTATATATAATTTGGCTATTTAAGCATATCAGGGCGACTAAAGTGGTCAAGTCATATGCCCAAAGAAGAGAGAAGAAGTTGTGCCCTCTGTTTGTGTATACCTGGCCAAGTCAGAACGCTCTATAAGTTTAGGTATTCTTACCTTGGGCCTGGCTAAGTTGGACACGCTCTGTAAGTTCTGGTGCCCTGCCCTATGCCTTATGTAAGTTAGGTAAGAGGGGATAACTCACTGAGAAGGTATGAACTATTATTTGCTAAAGGAACTTGGGGTTAGCGAGAGTACTTACCTTTGTGGTTTGGGTTGCATGTGGCGGAGTGAGATTACTACTTGGTCTGGGTTTCAGGTTCACAGGTAGTTGCTTTAGAGGCTCGCCACGTGCTAGAGCGATAGGAGTTAGGTCAATTCCTGCATTTTCTGAATTGCTTTATTTTACTTAGATCGATTCTTGCGCTTTCTGAGACTCGCTATTACACTTGGACTTGTATAAATTTTGGTAAGCAACTTTCTCTAAGGGAAGCGCTGCCGAAATTTTTATAGACAAATTTTGACTTGTCAAAGTTCAGCTTGCCTTTTCTGTATATTTGACTTAGTAAAAATTTGGAAAGTCTCATTTTCAAAGGGGAGTGTTGCCCAAATTTTTGCTAATTCAGGGAGTTAGACAAAATTGGACCTTGAGAAGTCAAAGTTGGTCTTAAGCACTAAACTTAGCTTTGTATAAATTTTGGAAAAACACTTTTTTAGGGGGAGTGCTGCCGAAATTTCTGCAAAACTAAGAAGTTAGTCAGATTTTGTCTAAGTTGAACTCAAGGTTGGAGGCTGAGTTCAAATTTGACTTGGTATAAATCTGGGAGATCCAAAAATTCCAAAGGGGATGCTGCCAAAATTTCTGCTAATTCAGAGAGATAGACAAAATTTGACTTTCAAGAGTCATAAATTATTTCAGCTTTTGATATTTGGGCTTGTATAAATTCTATAAAGGCACTTTTCCTACGGGAAGCGCTGCCGAAATTTTCTTGATTTACAGGAGTTTGATTATAATTGGACAGGAGGCGATTCTGACGATCCGCCCTGAATAGGGGAGGTTTTGCCATCACTCTACCTTTGCTTTGGGCACTGGCTTAGAAGTGGGCTTAGACTTAATTGACAGACGCCTTGAATGAGAATGTGCTATGGAGGTTTATCCCCCATATGCTGATGATTTAGCTTGGGCATTTCACCTACCTTGTGTTACAGGTCCTTTGGGGTGTCTGATTCAAGATGTGAACTAGACTCAGCTTGATCCCTTGAGGATCGTCTACTGTTATCACTGGTAACAGGTCGGTTGCCGATTCGTCGGTTTACGACTCGATTTCAACCTGCTCTCCATACTCAATCTAAAAGGCTTTAGCCCTGGTGATTTTACTGTTTGTTAAGGGTTTCACCCAGACTTTTATTGAATGGTCATTTAACAAAGGTACTGAGTATTTAATTAAGGTTGGTCGGATCGGCGGTTGGGGCTTGTATGGCTAAAGCGAAGGGGTATGAGCGTAGAGAATGGTTGGGGTTGACTCCGTGTAGTGCGTGTTTGTTGCTTGATTCTTGGTGTGATTGCAGGTATGTTCCGTGGCTCGGATTTTGGATTTGGAGAGCCTGCGATCCCATATACATATACATGGTTGTAAGGAGTCTCACAGTGTCTGTGAGAAGTGATTGTCGCCTCTCTATCTCCCCTTGTGCATGTATGTGTGGGTATACCTAGAATGAGTGCTTGAGAGGCCTAAGAGGCCATGTTAAAACCCGTTTAAAGGCTGAGGCGGAGGAACAGGGAAGACCCTCCTTTTTGCCAATTTGCGTCTTGGGGTTTTTTTAGTCGGACGTTGGTCATGGGACGAGATTCAAGGTCCTTGTCCAGGACATCCCAAGCCCTAGACTCCGCAGGGAAGGAATTTGCCCCCGTGCAGAGCTTATTCGCCTTGCCGGACGAGACGCTCAGGCCAAGGACCGGAGGTCTCGCGGCGGCTGCACGACTATTCCTTCAGCCGTGCAATGTCGTTAAGGATTAGACCCTCACGATACTTCGAGTCTGACACTTGAGTGTCATAAGCGGTACTCGGATCCACGAGGGACCGCTTGATTATGGGCACTACATAGTACGCCATCATTGCAACTGCTTGTGTACGCTTGCATTGCGAGTCGATATGAGTGGGTCCTGCGTCCGCGCGGTTTTATACTAAGTCTCGCGCGCGACGCCTATCCGATTTCCGCAGTGGAAAGTTATGGGATGGCTACCGAGGGGCTAGGAGCGTTGTCGCGTTGTTTGTGTTGTGTCGTCTCGTATGTGTGTGTGCGTGTGTTTTATTTTTGTGTTCGTAAAGTGGTCTGCGCGTGGTGTGTGGGATGCGTCCTAGTCGACCGAAGTCGGACCGCGCTTGGGACTTCAGCCCCCCAAGATGTCAGTTCGCGTGCGAGCCCGATAGGCGTATTACCGCGCGTACCCCCTATGCTACAGCGAACGAGAAACACCCTCGGTTGGTCCACCTCTGTGATTGCAACTCATTAGCTTTCGTATTATGGACTGGTAGCTCGGCGGGGATACGCCCACCGAAGGGAGGTGACAACTCCCGTAAGGTGGAGGTAAGTTGTGCCTCGCGTAGGCCCTATCTTGTCGTAGGGGCWCGCGAGAGGTATGGCTGGCGCACTCGGCCGGAGCGGCCTAAGGAAGCTCCATTTGTGGGTTCGTGACGAGGTTGGTCCAACTCCTGCGTGACGAGGCCGAGAGGGTCCCGCGCTGCCGCGTGCGGTGCCGAACCGATGCGCTCGACAGGTGGCGCCGTTGCCGGGGGTAACGGAAACCTACCATTGTCCCTGGTGGAACGACATCCGGGTATGGGAGTGAGGGAGAAACTAGGCATATGAGTGAGTAAGGGAAAGACTATGAGATGGACTGTATGGTGATCTATATGACTGTGGGTTGAATGATTGATTGATTGACGGCCCGGCTGACAGCTTGAATAAGGCAGGTGTGAGAAGAGATTTTGTGGGAAGGGTATGCCTTATCTAGGTAGGCCTAAGGGAGAATGAGAAAAGAGATGTCTGTCAGGGCTAAGAGCGTCGGATGCTTGAGGGGTCAACCGGATAGGGTCGTGAAGGATTGAGTTGCTGAGTGAGGTCTTCCGTCCTATCGTTTCTTATAACAGGAAGTTTGAAGCCGGAAACGGTTGATCAAGATGCCAGAGGCAATGGCGGATGGTGGGAGGAAGCTCGTGACGATCGACGATCTCATCGACGCCTTGGAGAAGCGCGACAGGGCGCCAAGCAATGTCCCAAAGGTTGAGACATTCCACTTCAAAGGGGATCGGGTATCCGACTGGTTGGATCTGATAGAGCAGGCGCTGGTAGGGCTGTCAGATGAGGTTAAGCTCCAACGGGTTTTGAGGTACGTCCTGCATAGTCACCATCGGGAAGTAAGTAAGGTCGTGGACGCCGCCGGTGGCAGTTGGACAAAGTTTGGGGACCTGATGCGAAGGAAGTACAGGCTGGGGGATGGCCTGTTGACCGTGGCCGACTTGGAGGCCATGAACAAGGAAGGCTTTTGTACCATTGGGGCGTTCGTGGACGAATTTAAGAAAAAGGCGAGGAAAGTGCACGGGATTTCGGAGGAGGCACAGTGCGCCACATTCTTGGGACTACTTACACAAGCTCGGAGGCCACAGAGCTGACAAAGTATGGGGAAGGGAGTGAGAGACTCACTTGGGCAACCATTGACAAGGGAGTGGAAGAAGGGAGCCTGGACCAGGTGGAGCAGCACCAAATGAGGCTGCAAAGGCGCAAGAGGAAGGAGAGGGATGCTACCGCGTCCGGGACCCCAGGGGTAAAGAGAATTGTCACGGATGTGTTGGCGGCGCTGGGGTATGACAGCGAAGCGGAACTACAGAAAAGAGTGGTGGCAGTGGCCCAAGGCCGGGCGTCGGGAGGAGGAGATGAGGAGGCTGGGCGCGAAGACTACGGCGGAGGGGAGACGGGCTCCCAAGCCCTGACTAAGGCCCAGAGGAAGCAGCGTAATCTGCTACTGGGGGGGCAGGGATCAGGGAAGGGGCAGGCCCCCCAAGCCATTGCCGCACCGCCACCTGTCGCCGCGGCCGCGCCAGCGCCTGCGCCAGCCGGATCGCCGTACATGGGGCCGCCACCAACTTGCGGTCACTGGATCCCGCATTGTCAATCCACGCCCTGGCCCAGTTGCAACCACTATGCCTCATGCGGAGGGAGTCAAGCCCATACGGGACACATGGTCCCCTATGCGGGCTTGTCAGCAAGTATGGGCCCCCCGAGCTACCCAGCAACTCAAGGCCAGCCTGTGGCCCAACTGCCGCCCTCCCAGCAGGCCTCGCAGGCTAGTGTGGCCGGGGGAGGGAGTCAAGGACAAGGCGGGCAAGGCAATGGGGACAGGGGCCAAGGGGGTCGAGGAGGGGGTGGCCGGGGGCGAGGGGGAAATGGGGGAGGCCGTGGAGGAGGTTGGAGTGGTCAGGGGGGCCAGAACCAAGGTGGCCAAGACAACCAGGGAGAGGGCCAAGGGTACGGGAGGCCCCTCTTCGATTGGCGGAACGCAACTTGTTGGTATTGTGGCGAGGTGGGCCACACCATACGGTTCTGGCAACAGCGGCGGGACGACGAGCTGGCAGGAATGATCTCCTCCTGCATGGATGGGGACATATACGATAGGTGGGGGAAGCACATCGATCCCAAGACCCCGGGAGGGATCAGGCAGGAAGCCCTCAGACGAGCGGAGGCGGGGCCACCAGCAGCCCCAACGATGTTCAGGATATGGCAGGAGAGGGAGGACCCGGGTGTGAGGGTCGAAGAGATTGTGGACGAGAGTGAGGAGGTGACTCAGCGACTAAGGGCGGGGACTATACAGGAAGAACCTATAATCGTTGAGTCAGACGACGAAGGATTAGAGGTGGTAAGAGAGTCAGTCTCGACCATTTTGGAAAGGATGGAGGATCTGTTGGCGAAGATAGGCAGATACCAGGAAAAGTTGAGGGTGATGTGTGCTGAGGCCCTGGAATGGGAAGCGAGCCTCCCAGAGGTGATGCTCTATGGGTCGAGCCCGGAGTCGTCATCAGGTCCACAAGGGTACCCAGGGGTGGCGACAGCAGGGTCAGGCCCTAGGTCTAGGATGACCTTTAGACCCCCCACGTCACATGAGAGGGTGGCGCAGGCCGCACAGATTTGGAGCCAGAGTAAGGCTACTACGAGTCAGGGATCTAGTCAGACACCTAACCAAGAGCCGCCTAGGAGGGGGCCTGAGCCCGAACGAAGGAAGTGGTGGAGGTTCAGGAAGAGGAGGATGAGGGTGATGACGAAGAGGATGAGAGGCTCCGCCAGGAAGAAGATCGGCGAGCGGAGCAGAGGGCCACGAAAAGAGGACTTTAGGGAGGGGCGAAGCCGAGTCTGCACGATGGCGTGCCAAAAAGGAAGAAGTACGCGGTCTGGCTGGAGGAAGGTTTTGATGTGGAGCGAATGGTGGACAAGCTTCGGGAGGGCCACAACGATTTGATGAATCTAAAGGACATCTTGGCGTCGGCACCAAGGCTCCGTGGCGAGCTGAAAGGGCGGCTCTCGCGGAGGTTAGTGCCCAACGTCCACCTGAGCTCAATTTTGCCCAGGGAGATAGAGTGGACAGAGGCGGGCACCAGGATGGACTAGAAATGTGTGGCATGTGGGTTGGTGGATCTGAAGGTGAGAGACCAGCCGAGCATCGCAATGGTGGACACGGGCGCTGAGATGAATATCATTCGGGAGCGGGACGCGACCATGTTAGGGCTGGAGGTTGACCATTCGGACCATGGGGTGCTGCATGGGGCCAACTGTAAGGCGATCTTCTGCGGCACTGCGTCTAACGTGATGGTGGAAATTGGGAGGGTAAGGGTGCGAACATGCTTCTTCGTCATGCTCGATGTCGACCACCCTATCCTTCTGGGGAGGTCGTTCCTCTGTCGAACGGAGACCTTGGTCTTCAATAGGCATGAGGGGACGATGATCCTGGCCCTATCTGATCCGGCCTGCGGGAACTATGAAATTATCAAGTGCCAGAACATAGGGCCCGGAAGTGGGAGGAACAGGCTAAACCTCGGCTCCTTTACCTTCGAGAAGTCTGAGTACGCGCGACGAAGACTTCGGGAGGAGCAAGAGGAGGAAGGAGCGGGCGACGTATTGTCTCTAAGCCTTAACGATGTGAATAAGGCAATGGAGGTGGTGGCGGCGCATGATATGGCGGACCCTGAAGCTATAAAGGCATTGAGGGAGCAGGTCCTAGAGAGCCCTTAGGTGGGAGAAGTGGAACTGATCTATCGGCTTCCCGGAAGGAAAGGGGACCCTGCGATGGCCCAGGCCCGAACGACAAGTCGGTCTTTTTTAGGGGAGGGCTTAAGCAGGGTTCCCAAAGGCGGTACAAGACTATAGATAAGAAGTGTCGCCCGGTCCCGTGCTTGTCACGGAGGACGAAGAGGCCTATTATGAGCGGGAGCGGGGACTGATCAGACGAATGCGGGAGCATGCGCAGGCAGGGCCGTGCCGTATTAATGATGACAATGAGGAAGGGATGATAATTGGTGAGCCTGGCTTCCTTTCGCCCCAGGAAAGGACCTTGATGGTGGAAACCATGAAGAGGAGGCATTGCGCGTATGCGTTTAACGACGACGAGCGTGGGAGGTTGGACGTGGATAAGATTCCAATGATACGAATTCATACCGTCCCACACGACCCATGGAACCTGCGGGGCGCGCGATACCCGAATCAAGATGAAGAGAAGAAGGTGGTGGATGAAGGGATTGTGCGACATGGGACCGTAACGAGGGAAAGAGGGTTTGAACCTCGAACGGCCGGGATGGACTTTGGGCTTTGACGATTGCATGACTAGCGCGACCTGAAAAGACTAAGGGTCGGGGATGGGGTTGGAGCCTGACTTTGCCGTGATGTGTGGTTGTGGCTGGGTCGCGAGCTTGGTACGGCCGCCTGGAAGGACTAAGGGCGGTCACGAGACCTGGGAGATGTATGCGTAGGCCGACTAGAGGAAAGATAGGGGCTGGGGGGGGAGGGACGAGCCGCCCCGATGATGCTATAGGAAACTAGGGCCGTTAGTGAAGGAGTGCGTGGCCTAAGGAGAACGCTTAGCCTACGCACCGTAAAGAAGAGAAAACTCTCAATGAACCTCACTGGACTGCCTGAGTATTGAAAGGAGCAATTGCCTGGTACGACAAACGGAGAATCGAAAACCTTACGCCTGCGGACCTAGACCAGTGAGGCTACCACCCGGCTAGAGGGCTGAGCTACATCCCCAATGTCAAGCTCTCTCGCCCTATTGGCCCAACCCCATCCATCTCATAGCACTAGGTGGGGGTGCCCCTGGGATGAACGACCCGCGCCCTGAGAATGAGCGTGGGCGGGTCGAGCCAAATGGGACCCGCAGTGGGGTCGACCAAGGCTCAAAAGTCCTTCAGGGTTAGGCCCCGACAGCGTGGATTTGCATCCTTACCGCTGGCGCCAGCGCGGCATTAGACACAGTGAGAGAGGGTGTCTGCCGACCGCATCTTCGATCGACTTTGAGCAGAGGCTTACTGATGGAGCCACCTTTCGTTCTTCTAGTCGATCGTTTTTCAAGCGCGGCAGAATGCGCGCGGAAGTTTGGCGCGAGAGGAGAGGAACGTACGAATTCAATCCAGAAAATATTGTCGAGCTTCCCACCGCGCTACGGCCCGTCGTTTAGAGCGAAAAGGCTTGGGCACGCTTCGCGTGTCCCGTTTTCGTATCAAGTCCCGTCGTCATTCGTTGGTCAGTTCTGAGTCTGACGTGGATGGTCTCTGTCGCGTGGCTCTTTCTTTATGCTCGTCTTCACTCCGCACACAGTAGTGGAAACCCCTGGATTCGTAGCGCTCAAAACGCTGACATTCGGTGCATAGAGTGCGCAGCCAATGGGGTTCTACTGCCGTCCACGGGATGACAATCAACTCGTTGAATGGCAACAATATCGAGTAAGGTGGGAAGTGCGTATCGATAATGACAAACCTAGCCTCTACGAACCCTGAACAACGATTTGTCGGAGGGAAGTAGTATCGTCCGCCGATTTGTGCAACGGCTTCTCGTACGTCCCACTTGCATACACGTGTCCTTCCCTCGTTGTAAGTAAAAGGCCGTGTTGGGACGGGAGGTACGGGCGGCTGGTGCCCGATCGGAGGGTACTTGTCAGTCCACATATAAATCAATTGCAAAGACCTTGAGACGTCATCAAGAAAAGAAAACACTCGCGCAACCTCCAATCAATCCTTTCCTACACAAGAGAGAGAAAAAAAGCACTCATCAGCATGATCAAATAGGTAACCAACGGGTCGATCCGCGGCTTGGGTTTAGTGAGCCCTCGCAACCTTGATCCAAGGTGCCTTGTTTCTCGAGGCTGCCCTCTGGCTCGGTTGCAGGTGTCGTGCAACATAAGGCAGATGGCATGCGCAGTGCATTCAAAGCTACAAATATAAACACTCTTGCATTCTCGAACGAAATCCCGACGACAATCGTCTAATCAACGCAAAAGACACGCATCTCCATACATACATTCACTGTGGAAGGTGCGAAAATGAGATATGCACAGGGACAAAAAGATGGGTCGCTGAAGGATACACACGCATCCACCGTTCACAAGACAAGAGAACGGGGTCCTTGCATAGGGGGACTACCCAGGAAACTAATGGAAGAGTTCCGGAAGAAGTTCTTTCACACAACCACAGCATGCCGACTCATTCCCATTCGAGAGAGAGAAACAAACATCGAGACACATCATCATTCAAAGATAGAGGAGAAGGGGAAGATGAGGGAGGAGAGTCGAGATAGGCGATGACACAATCCCAAAAGAAGGAAGTTCGGCGTTGCCGCTGTGCTCTCACGCTACAGAAACAAAATCCGCAACAACAAAGGCGCATTCGTCGTTAATTCCAATATGGCCCCGGGCCAATCACTCACTCAACTCCGATCATCAATTCCCATACCTGCACCGACGGTCCCGGCCATCTCGTGCTAACTCCCACCACTGCGATCGTCACCCCGCCGACGTAAACTCGACACGGCTCGCCCAGATCCCACAGTCCGTCATGGCGATCAAGCGCGCAACCGATCAGCTTATCGTCCGTCGGACAGGACTTTCCGACTTGCACCAATCCACTCTGCCTAGCCACGGGTTCCCGAAAGCTGGCTCAGGAGTCGAGAACGTAAGAGAGAATTGCGGACGCGCTTGCGGATTTTATAGTTGCGAGAGCGAAGACGGAAGGGAAAGAAAGCGAGGGGAAGGTTGGGGTGTTAGAGGAGAAGCAGGAGAGAAGACTTTGAGAGGAGTGCTCCATGGAAGCCATGTTGATCCCTCGAGACTCAAGGTTCAACCAATCAGCTTCGTCGCGCAATAGGAAGAGCCTATTGATCCACGCACCTGATTGGTGAGCGGGAGTTATCGAAGGATCGACCGGACGTCGTGCGCTAGATCAGAGGGTGAGGAGGGAAAAGGCGCGAGAAGTAGCGCAAGACGGGTCCAAGATTCAGAGGATCAAGAAATGGAAATGGGTGCGCAAAAAGCAGAGCGGGAGAGAGAGAGAAAAAAAAAAACAGTTACGAGGAGAGAGAAAGAGGAGGGAGAAGGGGAAGGGAGCGCGGGAGGGAGCGATGCAGGGGACAGAGAGGAGTAAGTTTTTGCATGCGCGGCGCCGTCAACAAAAAAAGAGAGAAAAAGGCACCGAAACAGTTACAGCTTGCCTAATTCAAAATTGAAATTACCATATCCATGTGGGAAAAAGAGACGCGGGAAAAGAAAATCCTACGCCTATTCATATTCGCACAAAATTCCAAGAGTTTTCCCCAACGCGACCAAAAACATTCACACACAAAAAGGATGCGTCGAAGTTCCGCTTATCCCAGAATTTCCAACTGCCGGGCCCAATTCCCAATGCGCTCGCTAAGGCGCACGTAAATTCCCATGTATTTCCCGACTTGCAAAAAGAAAAAAAACAGAACCCGAGAATCATAAAAGCTTCCGAAGGATGGGGGCCAAAAACGCGGCACCCGGAATCAAGAAAATGAATTGGGGTTTTTATCGTGTGATCTGTGTTGCCTTGTCGTTCGTCTGTGTGTTGTGTCGTGTCGTGCAGGTTCACAACCGGTGCTGCTGAGATGGCGGGTTCCTCGAGCTCACCTGTCTTCCTCACGGTTTTGGTGGCCTCTATGCTTCATTCCGGGACGATGGAGCACGTTCTTCGTTTTTCTTCCGTTGATCTCGTTTTTGAAACAGATCTGAGTTGCTTTAGGGTACATGACAGGGTAGGGGTAGGATGATAGGTTTTCGGGGCAAGGCAGTGGTATGGCCCCGTTGGCTGGTTTCTCTACTTCGCAGTTTTTTTTCCTCATGATGAGTCTACCGGCGCGGGTAGACGAAATGCGTCGAGGATTATCGCGTTCGTTTCGCTGTGATGATTGTTCTTTTGGCTATATAAAGCGTGCGTGACAGATGGTTTCTATGGGTGAATCTTCTTGTGTCTGTTCTCATGCTAAATACTGTCTTGTCGGGCAGTTGTTTCCTTTCCGATATTCGTGACAACCACCAGTGAGGTTACACATTGGGTAGGTGGTCACGCCTTCGACTAGTTTTCGCATGATCGTAGGGGCCGTTCGGGTTTCTGCTGAGCCTTTGCTATGGAACACATTCTGTTACGATGTGTTTCTCCTCGCAGAGGGCGATACTTTGATTAAGATCTGGGTTTTCTATGATGACGAGACTGATAGGTTCAGGATCATGTTCCAACAAGAGTAGATCGCATTGGTAATAGTAACTTGATAGCTGTTAGCCGGGTTTCATTTTCTTCCATCTTGTCTCTGGGTTACTTCCGATGGCAAGTATCTAGACTCCCAGACATTAGCAACTATCTTTGGCTTGCTGATTAGGATTTAGGGGAAGTTTTCTACCTACCGGATCTCCACTTTCTGTTGTCCATCATGTCTTCCAATAAGTGTTTTAACTGTGGGGGTGAAGGGCACTTCGCTAGGGAATGCCCTTCCACACGTACCAACCCGCCGAATGGATCTTCGGCGCCTGCGGCTCCTCGTTATTGGACACCCAGACGACAGCCGAACGATTCGGAAGAAAAGGAATTCATCCGACAGATGATAGCAGAGAAGAGGGAGGAGCAAGCGCGAAGAAAGGAGTTTGAAGAGAAGAGGAAGTTTGACGAGATGATCAGGCAGGAGATTGAAAGGAACTCGGAGGCAATGGAGGCAAGGGTGATATTGAAAATTGGGAGACAATATTTGACAGCTAAGGAGGAGGCCAGACGGGAGGAATCGCGCTGCCTTGGTGAACGTACCCCACGGCCGTTGCAAAGGGCGAGAGTCGTGGACGACTTTGCTGATAAAGGTATCGAAGATATCGAGGATGAGATAGCTAAATTGTATGAGCTGTGGGAGAAGAAGAGGAAAGCGAAGCAACCTTGTACACCACCAGTGCGGCGATCTTTCAGGCAGCCGAATTTCAATTCCCAAGGATCGGTTGATAGCGAGAAGCCAGGTGGTGAGTCCTCCCGAATGGGCGAGACGAGAGGACGGAGTAAGGTTGCTGCGGGTAGCGGGCCGGAAGGTATTCTTACCTTTATTCTGGCACAGAGAAGACTCCTGACTCCAAAAACGAAGGATCAGCTTAAGGCAATTTGCGCACAAGAAGGGGTGACTTACACGACCAAAGTGCCAACCATTGAGCGGATTGTGGAGGTCCGTGCAAAGATGGCGTATGAGGGGTTTGTGTTTACTCCTTCCCCTTCAGTTTCTCCGACAACTGAGGCAGAGGAGGAGGATACTCCTCTCAACTGAGTGTACCGCAGATCTCGTTATTGGTTATGGTCGAATTTGTTGGAATGTATGAATCATAGGAGGGTAGCATGGGAGATGGGATGCTCACCTCGGTTGCGAGTTCTGTGGGATACTTGTGTCACGCTTTGTATGGTTGCTCTGTCCCTCTTAGGGGAGATCCTGTGGTTGGAAAAGTTTTGATCGCTCTTGTTATCAGTAGATTGGGATGCTTGGTGTACTGGTCTTGTGGTTTATTTACTTGCCTCGCCATAGCTCAATACATCGGTTGCTCTATACGGGGGATTTATATTAGATGGGGCGAGCATATTCGAACGGTGAAATGTCGAGGCGTAGGTACTTCCCCTAAACTTTATAAATGGCTCCGTATAATTGGGGTTTGGGATTACGTAGCGATTCCCCTCGTGAATGGTGTTTTTACTGTTGATGCAACAGAAAGGGTTCTAATCAAGAATTTCTCTCCTACTCTTAACCATAGGAGGAGGAAGGTTCTGCTACCTAAGGAATCACGGTGGTTTGGGAAAACTAGACGGAAGGGTAAGGTGCCTTTTGGAACGCCATGTGGGGTTATCAAGTTTCGCACGGGAAAGGGGGAGTGGTCTGATAGCCTGCTTTCAATCCTTCGGAATGCTCTGATTGCCAATCGTCGGGAGCTGGTTATTGAAATCATAGTTGGTAATCTATGGGCTGACTCGTGGTCTGTGATACGCAGATGCTATGGACTATCTTCGGTTATTGTAGGTAGTTCTACCTATTTCCTTAAAGATCTTAAGAGGGAGCTGCAGAATGGAGGGGTTTGGACTGTGACATCTCTAACTTTCTCCCATAGCAGCAGAGCTCTGTGCAAGAACCATTTAGTCCTCCTCTTGCGTAAACCTTGGACACAACATTTGCTTAAAAACAAGTCCGTGGTTACTTTGACTAGGTGGTACCAGGCGATACGCAAGTTTTCGGGTAAGGCTACCCGAACGTCGCTTCGGGGGATTTTGGCTCGCTCCCTTAAGAACCGTGTTGGGATCGATGTTCGACGCAGGATGTTGGTACGTATGCCTTTTGATCATCTCCTAAGCTCCGCACGAGTACATTCCTTGGTGCTTAGGATATTGGATTCTTCGTCCTTTCCTAAGGCTGTGCACGGTTTGATTGCTAGAAAGGTCCGTTTCGTGTGGAGAAAGAATTTTCCAGTTTCTAGTTATATTTGGACTTTTCATAAAGCAGCTAAGTGTGAAATACGCGCGGTGTGTGGGTGTGCTTGTGAGCCTACATGGAAACGATCAGGGATGCATGTGGTTTCTCGTATCGGTGAAATCCCAGGTGTGTGTACCAACGCTTCTTCTGAACTCGAAGAATATTCCTCGAATTCGTCCCCGGGATGGTGTTTTGGATTTAGGAAGACAGTTAGTCTCCATATGTAGCTATCTACGGTCGACTTGTTTTCTCATTCGATCGGATTTGTTGCATTGTTGGGAGGCTCAAGGGGATGTTGAACCGGATGATGAAATAGATACCTTGCAAGCTTGGTATATCAGATTTAGGAATTTTGTCTGTGTTTCGTTAGATCGAAACACATCAGATACTTTTATAGTCTGTCCGGTGATCTATGATCATTACCTTCGCATGAGCTTCAACTGGAATTTGGCTTTTCTACCTGTTCAGATCGATCTGATTGAGGTGCTTGATACTATGCGTTCGACTTTTGAGGGGGCGCACTTAGATGTCTTGGGGAAATGGGACCCGGCTGGGCATTTCGGAGATGCGTACGTATTGCCCAAGCACAAGGATATTACACGATGGCGGCTGATATCACCTACATGTTTTGACCCGGCCTGAGTGGCTAGTGCCCGGGTATCTCGAGCCCTGAATTGTTTGTTGTTCTCTCTCCCTGCACACCCGAACTTCAACCTTCGGGCAGTGATGGATCTGCTCCCAGGTTTGGAGCAAATGAACAGACGTTTTCAGGGAATATTGGGCTATTGTGATTTGATTTCGGCTTCATTTGACGTTAAGGACATGTTCGTGTCTCTTCCGCATATGGAGATACTGCAAGCAGTTGATTGGCTCCTTGATTGGTTCCACCACAAAGGATGCGAGGGGGTTAATGTGGCTAGGAGAGGTAAGGGTGCTTTTCTTTCGTTAGGGAAGAAACGGGATGACTGTTGGTTTGTCTCCCTGAGTATGGTTCGTGATATGGTCTCCTTTGATCTTCGGTTTACCTATATCTTTTCTGTCGGGGTCCTCCTTCATCAAATTGTGGATGTACCGATGGGTAAGTCCTCCAGTTGTCCATTGGCATGTATTCTGTGTGCTTATGCAGAGTGCTGTTTCCTCTCATCGTTAGGACGAGACCGAAGATTAGTGCAAGGTTTCAGAATAATTGATGACGTGACAATTTTCGTTGCAGTGAGTACGAACGCTGGCTATGATCGCTCCATTGGCATAATTGACATTTTTTCCACATGTTATGGGTCATCTTTGAGATTGGTTCGCACCGATGTATCCCAGTTCGCTTGGACCTTTGCTGGGGTCACTATCTTTAAGCAGGGGGTGTCCTTAGGAACCTTGGTGATACTCAAGAATGCAGAGTCTATTTGGGATACCGGTCGTTTGGCTTTTGGTTGCTTTCGGGATTATGTCTCTTACTCTAGCAAGAAAGCAAAGATAGGGGCGGTTCTCAGTACTTTACACCGAGTTTTTCGCCTTTCCAGTGACCCATGGGGTCAACATGAGGCCCTTCTGGCAGTCAAACGCGAGCTTTTGATGAGAGGGTATCCGAGGAAGTTTATCATATCAACTTTCCAGCGTTTTGGTGCTAAGGGCGGACCTTCGGTGGCCGAGGTCATAGCAGCGTGTTTGTGATTAAGGGCTTGGCTTCTTTGCCAAGTAGGCCTCATATGGCCTTGTATACTATAGGTTGGATATTGCTAGCCATTTACGGGGTTCCCTTGTAGCCTTGTACGGGTTTTCTACGTAACCGATGGTATGGGTTATGAATGGGGGGATTCTTTCCTTTTTTGAGGGACGAGTTTCTTACGCTTGTTTTTCGGGTGGGATCTGCCGTATTGGAGTGACCTTGGCGGGCCACGGACTGCGTCATGGATAATTTTTGGAGGGGGTATCTGTCTGGGTTCCTCGGCATGGTGATTTGCCTGCGCATCCGAAGGAACGACATTTTACCGTTTGAAGGACCATGGGGTGAACCATAGGTGTGTTTCGGTCCTTTTATGAACGAACCTGACTCGGTTCCTGGGCAGGATAAATCACTGGCACATGATTTACAGGATGTTCCGTTTGGCGGCTGACGCTCCTCTGAGCATGGGACAGTTTATGGGACCTCTACGGTACCTGAAACTGTAAAAGAGATCATACGACGGCATATATACCACTATGGCGCAGAGTTTTTCCTTTCATCTTCGGACTGTCACCTCTCCGCTACCAGCGCTCGGACGCGTTCGGATGTAGTATGGTGACCGAGTCATCGGTTTCGTGCGTCTCCTGACGGCCAGCGTGGATTTGCAGCCTTACCGCTGGCGCCGGCGCGGCATTAGACACAGTGACAGAGGGTGTCTGCCGACCGCATCTTCGATCGACTTTGAGCAGAGGCCTGTTTGTGGAGCCACCTTTCGTTTTTCTGTTTCATGTGATCTGTGTTGCCCCGTTCGTCTGTGTGTTGTGCCGTGCCGTGCAGGTACACAACCGGTGCTGCTGAGATGGCGGGTTCCTCGAGTTCACCTGTCTTCCTCATGGTTTTGGTGGCCTCTATGCTTCATTCCGGGACGATGGAGCACGTTCTTCGTTTTTCTTCCGTTGATCTCGTTTTTGGGACAGATCTGAGTTGCTTTAGGGTATATGACAGGGTAGGGGTAGGATGATAGGTTTTCGGGGCAAGGCAGTGGTATGGCCCCGTTGGCTGGTTTCTCTACTTCGCAGCTTTTTTTCCTCCTGATGAGTCTACCGGCAGGGGTAGACGAAACGCGTCGAGGATTACCGCGTTCGTTTCGATGTGATGATTGTTCTTTTGGCTATATAAAGCGTGCGTGACAGATGGTTTCTATGGGTGAATCTTCTTGTGTCTGTTCTCATGCTGAATACTGTCTTGCCAGGCAGTTGTTTCCTTTCCTTTCCTTTCCTTACCCCATCCTATTTAAAAGCTTTAGTGCTACGTGACGTGCATGGTTCACATTTTTCTTCCAGTTTCTGGTAGATAAAATTTTTGTACTTTGCGCGAGTCAAAACCTTTGCAAGTGAAGGGTCACCCACTTCCTCTTGCCAAGTATTGTAGGATTTCACTAATATATCTTCTCTTTTGCCAGACTTCTTATCCTACAAAAAACCAACTTAGACAAACACATTGCGTGTGTACTTTACCATTACTCACAGACAGTGTTGTTGAACCCTGGCCCCGGGGCCCCGATGGGGTTTCGGGGGTCCGAGGTTGGGCACCCCTGGCCCCGGGTCTGGACCGGCCGCACAAAAATAAATAAATAAATTAAAAAAAATAGTGGGGGTTGCACAACGAGAGCGCGCACCCTGCGGGCTAAACCCTGAAAATGGGGTTTTGTGCCCCACCTCAGACCCCTCCCCGGGGCCACACCCACCAGTGGTGGGACCAGGGTGGCCCTTGGTGTGGGGCTGGGGGTGGGGCTCGGGGCGGGG